GTCTTTGCAGCCCTGGTTAATCTGGCTGTCATAGTAACCGTCAAACGTACTCCTGCACTTCACCGCCCTGTAAATGTACTGCTATGTAGCCTGGCCGCCGCTGATTGTCTGTCTGGCCTGGTTGCGCAGCCGATATACGCAACATGGCGCTTATTATTACACCACACCACAAACCCCTGCGTTTTAATGCTCCTTTACCAAGCAACCCAGTCTCTTCCTTTCTTATTGGTCGGTTGCACTTTTCTAAACTTGGCAATAACGAGCGTTGAACGGCTGTTTGCTGTCTCCAAGCCCATCGTCTATTCGACGACGATAACACGACGAGGTATGCAATAATTCATCACCAAACAACAAGGCAGAATAAAAGGGCAAGGCCCGTTTTAAAATTCGTAATTCACATGTGCCGAATTTACTGCTGATGAGAAAACTCTATTGTCCTCGCGTTATTTGAGTTTTATTTGCAATAATAGATTCGGCCTGATGTTTGTGAAGTTCGCAGATGTTTGAAACAAGCGGGACTTAGGGAGTTTGAAACGGGATTTATTCCCTAGTAGTAGACCCATCGAATTTGAGTAGTTGCATTTGAATTTGCTGCCTGCTTTACAGGTAAAGCATGACGAATTTTGTTAAGCCATTAGCTCACTGTTTAGTTCAGTGTTACCCTGGGCCATTTAAGTCTGGCGTGGATTTTAACAGTTACTGCGCTATGGTAAAAGGGCACGTAGAAGTAAAGTAAAGGAAACACTCAGATAAAAGTTTGATATACAGTTGTTATCCATTTTTGATTTACTCAGCCAATTTTGGTATTTTTCTAACATACTGAGGATTTCAAATGTACTATGGCTTATATTTAAAGATAGGTCCATTTGGAATCATAATGGGTTATAAAAAATACTGAAAGATCATCCTCTCATTCTTAAAAAATATCGCTTTTTTCCATGCCTTAATTTGTTTTTCAGGTATGCTTAAAACTGTGTTTTGCGCATGGGTGATCTGGTTCATCTACATAATCGTTTTGGAAACTGCAGTGCCTGAGGTGGTTTACAAACCAATGGAAAACATCACGTTGTCTTCACTGATTGCTTTCCCGATTGGTGGACACGTTTTGACCTTCTTTGCAATCCACACCAGCAACAGAAGGATAGTGAGTGTTGCCCACAATTCTCAACAAGCGTTTCTTTTTAAAAGGGAAAAAAGAGCTTTTACGGACATGACTATGTACACCATCGCAACGTTATGTTCTATTCTTCCTATTCTACTTCTCCTAAACGTTAAGGGTAGTGTCTTTTCTCGCAATATTTTATTTCCTTGGGCAGCAACCTTCACTTTTCTTTTATCGTCCTTCAACCCTGTTATTCAGATCTGGAGAAATGCTACCTTAAGGCAAGCACTAAGAGCTGCCATAGTACATCGTAGTTAAAGACTGCAACGATCGTTGTAATCCGGAAATCCGAAAACTAGAAGGCTTCCTCTAAACGAGAAAGTAATTTACAATATTTACCAGTACTCTCTACGATTCGCATTTTCTCGAAGATTTTTGTCTGTCTCGCCTTGACCAAGTTGACCGGTCTGGGAGAGCCGACGTGTTTATACGGAGAAATGTTGACCGGGCAAGTAAGATGACCCTACGTACCTAGGGTCAACCTTCTAGCCGAGGCAAGTTTTATTTCTCATGTCTATGAAATTTAATGGTGAGCCTATTAAAAGAAATATTTTTCGTTAGTTCAAGTCTTCAATTCATTTCAAGAAAATTTTAGAGGGGGCCAAGTTACACGGCAGACCATGTCGAAGTTCCCTGACGAACGCAATTCAAAATCTTTTATTCAGACGTCGTTCTTCTGCCGTGCTCTTATCCAGCTTAATTCAAGAAGAAGCACAGTTGAAAAGCACTACGGTGGCAGAAGCACGACGTGTGAACTAAGCCTTAATTTACTGTTCAGTACGGGCCGGCAACAAGGCTACTAATCGCGCCATATTTAATCGGCGAAGGACTTTTTTGAAAGTCTAATAATACTAGTTTATTATATGACTTTCTGTTTGGGGGACCGGAAACAAGTGCAGGACAAGTGATTTGACAGTCATTTGAAAAAGAGGAGGCAAACATAGGTTTTATTGGTTCACGAAAATAAACCGGCACATTCCCTTGAAAGTGAATGCAACTGTGCCACGTTGAAAAAAAGGTTTCCGTAATGGTCGAAGGGTTCTTTGTTGCTCAAGTGGGCCGAAATGTAGGGAAACGTTTTCTGTGAAAGAATTAGAAGACACTAATAATAATAATAATAATAATAATAATAATAATAATAATAATAATAATAATAACAACACTTCTGGTCTAAAGCTTTGGTCGTGCGGGGTATCAGGTCGATGCATTCTGCTTGGATTTTAGTAAGGCATTTGACAGTGTCTCATGTTATATTACAGCACACGTTATGTAATTGTGGTGTCTCTGGCTGCCTTCTAAACTGGTGCAGGGACTACGTATTGAATCGAAAGCAGAGGGTAGTATTAGATGGAGTAAGCTAGCTCCGACTGGCGTCCTATCTCCTCAGGGGTACCCAGGGGTCCTCTGTAAGGGCCTTGTTTTCCGTGATGTTTATTATTGACCTGACTGATGTTGTTTCTCCTACAAGTTTGGTGACTTTGTGTGCATGCAGATGATTGTAAAACCTCGAGGGTCATTCAACGTCCATGCGATCATGAATCGTTTCAAGATGATCTAACTAACTCGGTTCCTTGAAGTCGGCTAAATCATATGAGCTTCAATACAAAGCAATGCAAGTTAAAGCGGATTCCAAAAAATCGCTCTCCTATTCTACTTGCTCCTCTACAACTGGATGGTACCACCCTTCAAGTTACCGCTGAATTTTCCGATCTTGGCTTGCTCATCACTAACCACAAATTAAACTGTCCTGGAACTCTCACATAGACAAGACTTCCAGCAAGGCGATCAAAGTGCTTGGTTTGTTAAAAAGGAATGCAAGAGATTTAACAGACGCTTCAACGCTAAGAAGAATGTATTGCGCCTTGGTTAGGTCACAGCTGGAATATGGGTCTGTTGTTCAGTCACCTTTCACTGCCAGAAATATTAAAATTAGAAAGAGTGCAGCGTCGTGCCACGAAGTTTACCCCAAAAACTAAAGGTGACTATGAAGTTCGTATCTTTAAGCTTAATCTACTGTCCCCAGAACATAGACGTTTTCTGTTTGATTTTCTCTTCTTTACAAAGCTTTGAATGCATATATTAATATGTCCAATTCTACTCTGATACTACTAGGTACCCCATAAGAGGAAAAGACATCCTTACTTTAAAGAAGAACTATGCCCGAACAAACACGTTCAAGTTTAGTTTTTGAAAATTAGCTTCTATTTCACGTTAGATCAGCTTCTAGTATCTCAAGTTTTAAACGTGGTGTGACAACACCTTACTACCACAGGACATTAAAGAACCAGGTAATAACCAAGATTAGGAGTTGCGTTCTCCTAACGAAGAAGATAAGTAGCAAAAAAGGAAAAACAAACAAACAAATATCACCATCAACAAAAACAGATTTGTATGTGCTGCCACTTTTTTCAGTGATATTTTTTGCCTTCGTTCCACGACTGCGACGTAACAATTCCAAACTTTATGAGGGGTGTGAACACAGAGAGGATTTCATTTTTCTTAACTTGTATGCAGTCTTTTAGAATCAAACTCCAAAAAAGTCAGTCAACATTTGGGCTCCATTGATCAAGAAGGAATAATAGCGTAGTTGCTCAAACTCCTTATTCACAATCAGCGCATTATCTATGGCGCCCCCAAATTCTGCATAACTCTTGATTCAGGGGGCAGGGGGCAAAGATGGGTGACAAAGAAAATGCGCAAATTGCAATTTTCCTGAACTGAGGCCTCCGTTTTAAAAAAGAAAAGTCATCCTGGGATAGAGGATCACCCTCCCAGCCGAGTCAACTTTAGCGGGCGCAGTTTATGTATATATAAAAAAAAGGTGACCCCTTCAACCGAGCCAACAACAGCGTTCGGGCGTACTCTGATCGTCTCGCCTTGACCAGGTTTTAAGTTGGACCGGGTAGGAGGATGACCGGGTCACCCTTCTAGCCGAGCCAACATTTTGTTTTGGTGCAAACGGTTTGCCAAGCTTTACAAGAAAATGTAGGAAATTTGGCTCTGCTGTCGCCCATGGTAGACCATGGTAGCTCGGGGAGGTGAGTGACACCTCTATCCAGACAAGTTTTCTTCATATAAATGGGTCCTGAGAGAACAATATCGTTTTAACAGGATCCGATCCTTTTGATCAGTACCAAGGATTACTAACGCTCAGGCTAAAAAAAAAAAAGAAGAAAAAACCGAAATAGCTGATACAAATGCGTTCATCACTTTCAAAAGGTGATTTGCACGATGGTGTCATTTTACTTCTACGACAGAAAAATCCTTGTCATTTTTCCTTTCATTTTTAAAATTGGCATTCTCAGCGAGGCTTAAATAACAGCAGCCCTAATTTCCACAAGAAAAGCAAAATCCTGAAGGATTCTTGTTGTAGTATACTGAAATGACGTCATTATGCAAATGGCCTGTTACTTTGCAAATCAAAAAACCGAGTAGAGTTCTTTTTGATTTGCTTTAATTACCAGCAACCTAGGGAAACACGTTTAAAACAATTCCCCTACCCGGTACAGAAGGGTGGGATTTACCAGAGAGTGGTAACAACGGATAAAACTGAACAATGTTAAAGGGAAAAGAAAACTGAAGGCGATTTCAAAAAGTCAGACCGGTCACTTTGGAAATGAAATGTTTCATTGTCTTTTTTCGAAATTTTTACTCAAACCCATCCCCGCCGTGCATACCATTCTGAAATAAACTAATCTGGCTAGATAATCCTGATTGATAGCGGAATTCTCCTGACGACTGAACTGCGTGGCCTGGCCAGCCATTTCTGACAAATGGTGAGCGCCCTTACTTTCAGAAGGCCATCTTTAGTGCTTCCCTTAAAGCGGCATTTCTTTGAATCTGAATAGCGGGATTAAAACTGGATATCAGCTGGCTGCAGGTTACAGCCCAAGGAAGTAGAATGTTTCCTGAAATGATGGTGCGTTCTAAATTAAGAACCACTACAACAGGAATAAGAGTCAATAGAGTCGCCACCGTGTAGAACGTCATGTTCTTAAAAACCTTTTCCTCCCTTCTGAAGAGGATCGTTTGTTGAGAGTTATGGGTGGCACTAACGATCTTTTTGTTGTTGGAACGGATTGCGCAGAAGGTCAAAACGTGTCCGCCAATCTGTATGGCCACCGCTGAAATCAACACCATACTTTCCAACGGTTGATAAATCCCTACAGGTACAATGAATTCCATAAGGCTGTAGATGAACCAGATCACCCATACACCAACGATGATCTTCACCATCCCTGAAATATCATGTGTGTATTATTTTAGGACTCAAGCAAGTTAAGGCGTGAACCATTAGCTTAACTGGCGAAGTAGCATTAAAAAGACATTTTTTTAGCCGGTCTTCAAAATTGGGAAGGTGGTGGTAACGATACGGGACATATTCGACATCGATACTGTCGTCACGTGACCTGCGAGGATGTACGGACTAGCCTTGTTCTGTATCTACGTTCTTGTGTAAAAAAAGGGGATTATGTAATGGAGGAGAGAGTTAGTCACCTGACGTCTAAAAAAATGAAAAGGTAAGTAGCAATTAAGACGGTTTTGCTTAAGATTTCATGTGGAATATTTCTTAATCATGTTCATCGATCGTGCCTAAATTTGGAAAATGTCCTCAAGAGGTCATCGACCAAGAAATGTCACGCTTCTAACGATCACTTAAACAATCAAAGCAGACTGATACAATTAACCAGGGAAGTTGGATACTTTTTCGTTTTTTTCACATTAAGGATTCAAAATGAACTTTGTAAACCTAACAGAACAGGAAGATTATTCGCTTGATTAACAGATTTTGCTTTAAACATTAGTGATTATAATTACTCTGCCGATGCAAGCCTATGTACTAACAGGCAAATTTTGTCCTCTTTTATTTTTAAAAAGTATTGACTGAGTATACCGTATATATAAATACTGAGGCTGTGCAATGCTCGTTCGCAACTGAATTAAGTGGCCTGGAAGAATTCAATCTTTACGAGCACGAACTTGAAAGGCTGTTTCACAGCAGAAGCTAAACACAGATATTAGAAGCTGCAAAAACTGAAGCAAAGAGGCGTGATATCTATCTTAAAGTTTTTACTTGCAATTCTTTCACCTGTAGCTTAAAGCAACTGGTCTCTGTAGTTTGTTTTTTTTTCAACGTCGAGAAGATAAAGACAGTTAATTAATTAATTTTGATCTTTGAGCCCTGAATTTTGTTACAGGCAAATGCCACTTACAATGGTGGCTGTCTAGTACTATTATTCATACCTCGCAGTGTTACTTTGGCTGAATGCTCAAGAGGGCTTGAAACAGCATACCATCTTTCGACGCTTGTTATTGCCAAGTTTACGAAGGTAAACCCGAGAAGCATTTGTGGAAGAAACCTACTGGCTTGGTAAAGATAGACTAATTTGCAAGGGTCTTGAGATTGATGCAGAAGAAAGCGCCATGCCACGTACACAGGTTGAAGAACAAGGCCGGTTAGACAATCAGAGGCAGCCAGGCTACACAGCAATACGTTAACTGGACGGTGGAGTGAAGGAGAACGGATTATTGTGACTATAACAACCAGGTTAGCGATCACGGCAAATATGGCAAATGGGATGTTAACGACCATGATACCAGTGTCACTGATGTATACAGACTGGACGTTTACGGCGTTTAGAATCCAAGAGGGGAGGCACAGTTCAGAACTGTCGTGGTTCAAGACTGTGTTATTAACTGTATTGTTTAAACCTCCAGTTTTGTTGATCAGCATGTTTCCGTTTTCTCGGTGTCAGACGATTCTTCATAGGGCTCTGCAAGATAAAGTAATAATAATAAGAAAATAATCTAATGACTCGCGCTCTACGCGAGGGTGCAGTATTGTGTTTCAAAGAGATTTCTTAGTATGAGGAAGATTTATCCAGCCTCGTTTTCTGAAGGAAAGGCATCGCTGATTCCGAAGCAACCGACCATTGCTTGTTTAAACACTACCTTGTACAAACGGTTTTCATCTTGAGTACCCGTCCCCGACAGACCAGCTTTTAGACCAATAACTTGATGAAGGGTGTGCAGTGNCTTGGTAAAGATAGACTAATTTGCAAGGGTCTTGAGATTGATGCAGAAGAAAGCGCCATGCCACGTACACAGGTTGAAGAACAAGGCCGGTTAGACAATCAGAGGCAGCCAGGCTACACAGCAATACGTTAACTGGACGGTGGAGTGAAGGAGAACGGATTATTGTGACTATAACAACCAGGTTAGCGATCACGGCAAATATGGCAAATGGGATGTTAACGACCATGATACCAGTGTCACTGATGTATACAGACTGGACGTTTACGGCGTTTAGAATCCAAGAGGGGAGGCACAGTTCAGAACTGTCGTGGTTCAAGACTGTGTTATTAACTGTATTGTTTAAACCTCCAGTTTTGTTGATCAGCATGTTTCCGTTTTCTCGGTGTCAGACGATTCTTCATAGGGCTCTGCAAGATAAAGTAATAATAATAAGAAAATAATCTAATGACTCGCGCTCTACGCGAGGGTGCAGTATTGTGTTTCAAAGAGATTTCTTAGTATGAGGAAGATTTATCCAGCCTCGTTTTCTGAAGGAAAGGCATCGCTGATTCCGAAGCAACCGACCATTGCTTGTTTAAACACTACCTTGTACAAACGGTTTTCATCTTGAGTACCCGTCCCCGACAGACCAGCTTTTAGACCAATAACTTGATGAAGGGTGTGCAGTGGGGTACTCGTATAGCATGCAGGTTGACTGGTCGGACGGTGACTTTGTGTAAAGGGGGAAGGAATACGAGGGTGTTGGGTGTCACAAGGAAAGGGAGGGAAACCTCTGAAACCGGTAATGAAAAGGTTCAACAATACGAGACTGGTCACAGCGTACTTAAACCAAACAGCCTGGAATATCAGCGTTACCGAGGGATACAGATTATCCAAACCCACCAGTTTTAAGGTTACGGACCGTCACATATATCATTCTTTGACCTTAGGATTTTCGCTGCATCTGAAGGCAAACGCCAAAACGTTATGAACATGGTCAAAACGACAACATGGTCAAAACGACTATGGAAGATGCCCGGGCTCGAATAGAACTCCAACAATTGAAGGGTGCAGTGATCCATGTAAAAAAAAAGATTGCACGTGAGTCATAACTGATCAGTGATGATATTGGATGAGACGGCCAGAATACCAAGTCTTGAGGACGGGAAGCAGTACAAGTTCCTAGGGCATGCTTGAAAAAGTGACACAGGAAGATAATTTTGTCTTAGGTTGCGCAGCCAAGGAGTATCTCCGGTGGATGTCAGTTATTTGGACAAGTTCTTAGTCGCACCACAATCTGCACAATCGTGTTATCGCGTCAAATCAGTTTGTCTACTAATACTTGGCTATCTAATGTGGAAACAACGGTAGCCGATTATAAATGGATCTACAGCAGATCGACAGGGAAGCTCGGAAGACTGTTATTGAGAACGGATAAAGCCGGACACCCGTGTGGCTCGAATGCGTTATTCGACCCGCTAGAGAAAAGAGGCAGGGGCGTGCGCTCAGCAGATATGTGATATTACGCTACGAAGGTTAAGGGTGCGGTTAGACTCTTCACGTTTTGCGGGGGAGTTTGGTTTCGAGTTCAATCTCGAACACGCGCATACACTCAGTCAAGACGGAATTGCGAAATAGTCAAGTGAAGAGGATGTAGTGAGAAATCAAAGATGGCAGGGAAGTCTAGTTACAACTAGCCTTATATTATGAGAAGTTGAACGCTAGTGGATGCTTCTGGTGGCTGACAGAGTGGACCTCCTGCCTAACACTCACTATATATTATTATATTTGCCGGTATACGATCAACTCTTACCAACTCAGTCGGTTAAATGCCAGGTAGAAGACCCATACAAGTTCGTGGAACCAGGCGTGGTGGAGGTTGTTCAGTAAAGTCCCAGAAAGTGTGGCCTCACATCTTGCCCAGGTGCAGTGCCCTGGCACAGAGCAAAAAGCTATCCAGACACGTCTCAGCTTTAAAAGTACCGTTTTCTGAGATGCTGCATTATCTGGGACTCGTAGATGGCTCACACCGTCCGCCTAGTTCAACAGGGTGGCAAGGCACGCACGGCAATTTTTGAGTGGCTATTTTTTTGTCGTTACCACATTTTTATCTCTTTCCTTTATTTGTATATTATTGAACCTTATAATCAATACCCAATCGCGCTTTTCCCTTTAATTTTGGAAGGATTAACCACGCTAAAAAGGAAAGGATTTCATGGAAATATTACGACAACTGCGGTAATTCTCACAGCTCGCATGTTCATTAGATAAAAATCTCTGTGTTCTTTAATATGAAATAGAAATAGAAAAACTGAAAGAAAATTTCAACAACATGTTATAAAATAAAAATAAAAAACTTATTAAACGTCAACAATAATTAAAAACGTTTCAAGCCTGCTTTTTAATGATTCTGAACAGATGGGGCGATTCTCACATCACGAGGAAGATTGTTGCAAAGCGCAGACGTGTAAAATGAAAAAGCGTGAACCATCATAATTATTTTCCTAAACATCTGAAGACGTCTTTAGTTTTTTTAAAAAATAAAATAGTAGTAAAAATTACACTTTCATTATCTGAAATTTAGTTTGCCCAACTTTGTCATAAGCATTAGCTATTTAGTACTCGTAAGTTCAAAAACTATAACATTTGGAATTAAATGGAATTATCGAAGTCCTTACCTTTGCTCGATCTTGCCTTTTCTTGATTAGCATAAGGTTTTCACACAACATTCAGAGTTACTTAAAAGCCACAGAAGCCGAATCATTGATTTCAGCTCATTTACACTTCATACAATTCTCTTCAAAAACTCTTCAAAGCAACACGCCCTATTTTGAAGCCAATTATTTCAAAACGTTTTTTACGAAGTTGTATTCATTTGTTTTGTCCGCATGGTTTAAACTTTTCATACGCTTTTACCGCCTCCTTTTGCTGTGTCGTTCCGTTACAAACTTTTTATCTCATTCATTCATTTATTCAATCATGAAAGTTATTAATATATATAGGCCCAGTTCAAACTTCGAACTTTTCATGCACCGATCCTAATCCCTTCTCTTTTAAAAGCACATGAAAGAAAACGTTTGAATCAGCAAAGTCCGACATGTCTAATTTGGGTCGACCCATGATTAAGATCGAGTATCCAACGTGGGAAGTTCGCGAATTGGACTATGGAGCGAGTTCGTTTCAAACGTCGATCTTTTCAAGTGCCAAATTTAATGCATAAGTTACTATTAATATTTATTTGACTGGTAAGCATTGTAGATCATTGTACATCGTGAAAATGATTTGAGTCCGACTAATAAAGTTCGACGTTTGAATCATCCGTCGAACTTACATCATTTGGGTCGACCCAAATATGTATAAGTTCGGTTCATGAGAAGTTCGACGTTTGAACTGGGCATAAATTTTATCCAATCACGCTTTTCCCTTTCATTTTCAAAGGAAGCCGCGCTCAAAGAAAATGATCTCAGAGATTAGGACGGCCGCAGAATTCTTACAGCTTGCATATCCATTACATCTAATTCTCGATTATGTTCTTACAATAAGAAATACAAATAGAGAAACTAAATAAAAAATTTCAAATCAAAATTCTAGATAATAAATAATAGTTCAAATTCTTATTAAACCTTAAAATTTATTAAAAGGGTTTTAAGCCTTCTGTAATTTACCCAACAGATGAGGCGATTCTCAGATCAAGAGAAAGATCGTTCCAAAGCACCGGCACTTATGAAAAAGCAGAGAAAACCGTTTCACTCCCCAGCGCCATTTTCAAGTCCGTAGCCTCAGTATCAGGAGTTACTGGGGGAAAATGAAAAAGAAAAAAGCGATACTGTTTCCTCCTCAACACGCTCTGATAGGAAGCGCATAGAGATAGACAGAGAGCTGTCCAATCTGGATTAGACGAAATTCGCTTCATACGAAAGTTATAATATTAAAGTCCCTGTGTGGCGCACATATTTTTTGGTGGAAAGGCTAATATTCGCATATAACAGATCGATATAAACTCAAATGAAAAAAGTTCGAACAACGTACTCCACAGACTTCACAATGAAATACTTAAGAGGCTTGGAATATCACTGGAGGCTGAAACAGGCTTCGGTTAGTAATTTAATTTACGTAATTTTATGCCTCCAGAACGGTTGTCAACTTAAATTTGTGTTTAGGATTCACCTCTTTAGCCTGCTGCTATGAAGTTTTCCAAAACTCAATATAACGATAAAGAATTTTGTGTAGCCAGTTGGTAGGTGCTGTTCTCGTCTATCTCCCGAGAAGGGGCCATTGTGAGATAATTAGGACGACTGGTATATTATATATTTTATTAGCTGTCACGTTCCCAAATCAGTGTTAGAGGGAAGGCGAACGAACAATAGCTGAACTAAATCTTTGCAAGTGCTTGAAAATATTGTGATTTTCTAACCTATGACTATAGCGCAGTGGATTCCGCTAAATAACTTCAGTCTTGCTGGTTCATTCTACAGTAAATTAACAGCAGTAATATCTAGTGAGACAACAAATGGAATATAAAAGAGCTCTTCTCTGGAAATAACGATTGCTAAAAGCATTTGTTCCTGGGTAACTTTCTTGCGGGACTTCTCACAACTTTATCGTAACTACTAAGTAAATGACCAAATTTTAGAAAAGAAGACCTCCGTGTTTGATGGATCCGTGGAAACGACTAACAAAAGCTCTTTTCATTTGGCTATTTTTGATTATATACTTCTACATAAATCAATTGCACAGATGAAAGCAAAGTTGTAATTTTGTCCGTCGCCTGTTTTTCTTTGTGTTTTGATAGTTTGTTTGTTTGTTTGTTTGTTTGTTTTTTTAAATTTCCCATCGAATACAGTGCGCAGACTCCACGTGATCTGAAAAGGTGACTTTATGTATTGACTTTATGCTAAAACACCGATTTGCCCCACCCACAACCCAGGGTACACCGTTTAACACAATCACTCAAACCCCTGCGACAGATGGACTGGACGTTTCCAGTTTCGTAAGGGGGAAGGCGGGGGGGGGGGGGGGGGGGGGGGGTGTGACACAGTTTGGAGATAGGGGGGGGGAGGGGGGAAAAAAAGACAAAAAACAGAAAAAACAAAAAGGTGTTCTTTTTGTTATCTTTATTCTACCACAACCCCCCCCTCCCCCCCCCCACCACGCCGCAACCCCATTTACCAACCAACCCCACCCCCCGGGAGGGGGGGGGGGTGGGTTTTTGGGGGGGGGGGGGGGGGGGGGGGGGGGGGGGGGGGGGGGGGGGGACTGTCAACAACTTTATGAAATTCTGACGGAAGAAGGTAAAACTAAGCTAAGTACACGGAAATCCAAAATTTTATACGACAAAGTAGCAAATGATTTTTTTTGCTTGCTTTACAACATTTTTTAATCATGCCATGACATATGGGAGACATTTTCCGACTCGGCAGTCGATACAAACTAGTCCCACAGCCTGCGAGCGGTTTCGCCCGGCTACCGGCCGGACCCCTAATGACAATCCTGAGTCCGGGTACGTGGTCTGCAGATAATGCCTAGACCATTCACAGGGCCATCTTTAGTGCCTGCCTCAAAGCGGCATTTCTTTGAATCTGAATTACTGGGTTTATACTGGATATTTGCTGGGAGAAGATTTGGGCCCAAGGGAACAGAATGTGTCCTGAAACAATACTGTTTTCCACATGATTTAGCAGCACTAGAAGAGGAAGAAGGGACAGTAACGTCGCCACTGTGTAAAATGTCATGTCTTTAAACGCTTTTTTCTCTCTTTTAAAGAGGATCGCTTGTTGAGAGTTGTGGGTGGCATTAAAGATCTTTCTGTTGTTGTTACGGATTGCCTGGAAGGTCAAAACGTGCCCTCCAGTGATTATGACCATCATTGAAATGATCGTGATATTTTCCAGCGGTTGGTAGATCCCCTCAGGTACAGTGCTTTCCATAAGGATTATATTGATGAACCAGATCACCCATGCACTGACGACAATCTTCACCATTCCTGAAACAAAAGTTTCGTATAACTTTAAGAATCCAGTTTGTTTAAGCATTGGTCACGGGCTAAATTTGCGGGATTAGGAAGGGATTGTTTTGATTAGTCTTCAAATTGAAAAGTATTTTCCAGGTGTTCTCAGCGATATATGTAATGACGTTACCATTTCACTCACTGTCTTCGAGGCGCAGAAATTGAAAGAGCAGCATACGTTTTTTTTGTGTGTGTGTTCAATTCTTCTAATCAGTTCTTCAGTTTCGCTTAAGATGATTAGTACGAATTAGTCCTGTATGTACGTCATTAAGTAATAAAGGAGACCCAGTCACATGATTTCTTTGTACCTTTCCCTGTAAACTGAAAGGAGGCCTGATACTTAGCTTTAATTGCCAGTTTAGACCGGAGAGGCTTTGGAGTTGCCCCCACCTCGCTAAAAAGGTTTAATAGCTTTAATCCCGTTTAGGCAATGACCGCCAAACCTGGCGACTTTTTCTCAAGATTTATCTAGAAACATTTTAAAGTCGTGTGCGTTGTACGTCAACATTGACGTTACCATGGCAATCGAGTATTAACAGCGCACCATGTTTTACAAGATTTGAAGAAGTTCTACATAAAAGGCTTTATCATTATTTTTTACGTATTGAATTATTATAATGTATTGAGAGATCATTAACTGGTCTGGGTGTGATTGCAAGCGATAAAAATAGTCAAGCGTTACAACTAACTACGAACAATAACGAACTAAGCAGTAATCACTTGTAAACTAATTAAAAACGTTCAAGGAAATCTTACAGGAGGAAACTGCTATAAATTTCCTCAAGGGAAAGGAACTAAAAAAAGTGTAAATTTTCAGTTGTTAACGTTCCATTTATAAATCGTTTTAATAGGAACTCGCCGGCCGGGTTTAATTGTTTAATTATCTTTAGAGTGTAGTTGTCCCCAGACAGAACGAAAGAGTCAGCAGTCTCTCTCTTTTTTCTTCTCGGGCTTACATTTATCGCAGTTCGCGTGCTTGGGTTTCTCGTGGGTTTTTAATTATTCCCCCCGCCCCCCTCAGAAAAAAAATAAATAAAAAATAACAGAAGGGAGGAGAAAAGAGAAAAAAAGGCCGGCCTGAATATGGTTAAACAATTTTAAACAAGTCCGATACCACTTTAAGAACCCTAAAATGGAATTTTTTGTGTACTTTGTAAAGAATAGAATAGACTAGAATAGACCAAATAATTTTCCCAGAATAGGAACCCAAAACAAATTCCATTTCTGCAGGGGTCTGCTACAATCCTTCATACCTCTCAGTGTTACTTTGGCTGAATAAGAAAGAGGCTTCGAAACAGCATACAACCTTTCGACGCTCATTATTGCCAAGTTCACGAAGGTGCAACCGACAAGCAGGGCAGGAAGAGATTTACTGGCTTGGTAGAGATGAACCAATTCGCAAGGGTCTTTAATGTGATGCAGCAGAAAGCGCCATGCTATGTACACAGGTTGAACAACTAGGCCGGTTAGACAATCAGAGGCAGCCAGGCTACACAGCAACACGTTAACTGGGCGGTGGAGTGGGGGAGAACGGATTATGGTGACTATAACAGCCAGGTTAGCAACCACGGCAAATATGGCAAATGGGATGTTGACGACCGTTATCACAGTGTCACTGATGTACGCAGACTGGACGTTGACGGCGTTTAGAATCCAAGAGGGGAGGCATAGTTCAGAACTGTCATGGTTCAAGACTATGTTATTAACTGTATGGTTTAAGCCTGCAGTTTCATTGACTAACATGTTTTTTCGTTTTTGGCTGCAAGTACAGTTCTGTTACCTATAAAACAAGAGAAAATTTGGATTAGAGATATGTTTATTATTCACTTGTGCAGATTTAAGCAGTTTTTATTCAGTTCCTCGTGAAGAAAGTCCAAAGGCCTCGCGCGGCGAGGTTTTTAAAGTTGTTGTGTGTGGAGTAAGCTGCTTAAGTTGTATTGTTTAAACCTCCAATCCTCCATTTTATTATGTTGTCCATTGTATTGCAAAATCAAATTCAACAGTCTCGCTACATCAAAATAAGAGGAATTTGTTTCAGGTATATTAACCCTCGGAGGTACACGGGGGGGGGGGGGGAAGGGGGGGGCGGCCACCCCCCTTTTAGTTTTTTTATGATTTTTCCCTAGAATAATAATCCCCCACAGGTGTGTTTTTATAAAAATTTGCCTGATGAGAAGTTTATTTGGTTACGATCGTTGGGAGAAGGGAGAGGCACGGGGGGGCGGTGGGTTTGTTTTTGTTTGGTTTTGTGGTTGTATTTTTTTTTTTTTTTTTTTTTTCATCCAACCATCTTCTTTTTTTTTATTTTTTTTTTTTTTAAAAAAAAAAAAAAAACAAAAACCTCACAACAAAAAAAAAAGAGGGTTTTTTTGTGTTGATCTCTCCGGGGGGGGGGGGGGGGGGGGGGGGGGGGGGAGGAGGTGGATGCCACCCCCCATTTAGGTTTTTTCTGAGTTTTTCCTAGAAGATCAAGCCTCAGCAACTGACGTTTTCAGACAAGTTTAGTGATGATCAGTTAGTATGGTTACGAGATATGATGTCATAAGTAGTAGGTTGTCAAGCCATTTTTAAGTGAAAATGCAGGTTTTTTCAACTTATTTTAACGATTAAAGTAAAGTTTGCGGTTAAAATGAAGCAAAATACTTATTTATGTATTATTTTACACGTCAAGCACAAAATTACCAATTATCTCTGTTTTTACCTGGTAAAATCCAAGATGGCGGCCAAGATGGCTACCATGTTTGGTGACGGCACAGGTCTCCAGTAGCGCCACCACCCATAATATATACTTCATATTTCGAGAAGTTCAAAGGCTTTCCACTGAAAGTAATTTTTTTTCGAAATACTGCAATATATGAAAAACTCTAGGGAGGGGTTCCAACAGCCCCCCTCTCCCATATTTTACCACGGTGGGGGTATGCGTGTAAGTCCGAGGATTAAACATCATTATTTGATGATGGAGATATAAGTACTTCTTTTGATGCAAGATTTGACTCCCACTGTGTTTGACACTCTCCCAGTCATAATCATAAGTATTTTGTTTTTTCAGGCTTTTGTTACTTTGGACCTTTTCATTCTATTTAACTCCTCGGTCAATGTAATATCTCACCCCAGAGGCGTGTGGAATATTTGTTTTAACGTAGGAACAACCAAAAAGTGATTCAATCAGAAGCAGAGCAGTCGCTCTTGGTTTAACAATATCGAGTCATTTTCGGTTTTTCCGTTTGGCTTCATTAATATAATAGATGGAGCCCAGATGAAGCTAATGAACTTTTTGAAGTTAACCAATTCTTTGATCAAAATTCGGCTACAAATAGTAAATTCTTAACTACTGGATACAAACAGCGAATTATCAGTTGAAGGAAGAATTAACGACACTAAACAACTTTCACTTTTTTTTAGTACCATTACTTTATAAGTACCTGAAAAAACATTGCCATTTACCACCACGAAATCACGTTACATTTCAGTGGATAGTATTTTTATTTGTTGGTAACAAAACTAAACCGAATACTTTCACGTTTCCTATTTTCGGCTTTTCAAAACTATAAACGCTTATATCGAATAAGAACATTTCATTTAATGGAAATATTTCTACAAATTAGGCAATTGAATGTTCTTTCGAAAGCGGAAGGTTTCTCAGTCTTCAGACAACTTCAGTTTTGAATTCATACGGCCAGTAAAACCTCTCTGTTAAACTTATCACGTTCAAAAACCTAGCTATCTGCTAAACTGGGTGTCCCTTTTAAATGCTGTTATTAAATGAAATGGAAAAATGTTATACAGCTGGTATTGCCTTTTTTTCCTAGCTTCCTTCTCTCGATTTGTGGAGCCCATAAGGCTTAATTTGAGCAAGTTTTGCTATGTAAATAAAGCAAGAGGACTTGAAAGAAAATTATTTTCAAACGTACCTGTAATTACTTTCGTTTTAATCACAAGTAAAACCCCAAGCTGTGAGATGAACTTCAGGGTACAAAGGTTTGAGCATAATGACTTACCAGTAACTCACATTATTTTAAAGTGATATTTGAACTAGGAGGCGCAAATTATGCCCTGATTACGCTTTTAACAAAATTGACTATAAATTATATTGGCTTACCTTTCTGCTCTCGTTTGTTTTCAGTTTCTCAAAAAATAAAGCAGGCACTTAAGAAATGTAGCATTGAAATATTAATTATACATCATAGAAAGCTTAATCATTTTCGAGGAAACTTGGCAAAAATGAGCCTCATTTTTGTCAGTATGTTATGCCTGATTGCCGATCTTCTAAAAAACTGACGTGGGCTTGGAAAGATTTGCGCGTGTGCTTTTATTTTCAAACCTCCGTTTCAGAAATGATGGCTAGTTGTGACGAATGTTCGCGTGTCACGTTTTGTCAAAATGTCATTATAATGGAACGAGCATTCACTAGGAGGTAATTGTATTGTTTGTCGTTTATGATTGTTTAATTTGTAATCACAACAAATTGCCAAATATCGTCGCCTGCAAATTAAAAATGTACAACAATACTGCTAAATGAATAGCTGTTAAGGGCTTGTTTACATGGAGATGGGGGACCCCAGGTAGGTGAGCAAGGTAACCCTCTCAGGTGGGATGAAAAATAACCCGCGTTTACTTGCAATCTTACAACCCTGCCATCCTGGAGTACACTTTCTCAAGGGCTGTTATTGGTTGGTCTTTAAGCACGAAAACAAAACAAAACAAAAAACAAAAACAACAAAAAAATGGCGGGCAAACGACGTGTTTTGGCGGTTAATTCTCTGATATCTAGACTGCAAAGCAGGCCATATTTTTGCGTAAATTGAAGTACGCACGAACAGTCAAACAAAAGCTGAAAACGGAGAGCGAAACTGGGGAGACACAGCGTGCTATGGTCAGTTAGTCTCTCTCGTGAATCACTGATCATGTGTCTGCTTTTAGCTTGTCCGTGCCAAATTCTTTAAATGTTTCAAAAGAGAGTCACCCTTAGGAGGCTAATATGGATAAGAGCTGAATTTCTGTACAATATTGGCCATGACTGGGCCATTGGCCCCTTTATTTAAGTCAAGTTAAGCTGTGTGGCCTTGAGTTGCTAGCTTGTGCGGTTTTCATAAATTCGGCTAGTAAGCGGGGAATTTTAAGATGCCAGCTCCTTTTAGTGGGGGAAGGGGGGGAGGGGGTCTATTCTTCTTATTTGGCTATTAAATAATATATTCATTTTATCATATTAGTTTTCCATTGTGTGCAATACCATCTACCTTTTTGGTATCCGTGAATAAAAATCCCCACGAAATTGTAACACCTTAAAATTAATAACCGCATATGGAAAATTCAAAAAACAGGAAGAAGTGAATAACATTTAAGACCATTTAATAACTAAAACATATACTGTACATAATATACCTGTCAACAAATACCGACAGATTATTAACTGCTTTTACTGGTAAGTTTCATCCGTGACTGTATCTTCTGTTGTGGAATAACGTTAATGTGCGTTGCTTGTTTCATTTTACCTTAATATTTTGAAACGTGCAGACGTTTAAAAAATATAATCAAGTTGATAACGCTTGAATCGTGAAATTTAATTTAATGCCCTTTTTCATATTTGCCTATTGAAATGGCGAAAATAAAATCACCCTAAATATTTTCTTGCCAAAAACGCGAAATTAAGTATCAATAAGGTATCAATATGTAGTATCAATAATGATGTCAAGGACATGCTCAGTTAACGTTAACGCCTGCGGGCCGTTTCGCCCTGCTATCGATCGGGCCTCTAATGTCAATCCTGAGTCCGGGTGGTTCGGATAAAGCTAAACCATTCACAGCCGGGCTGTCTTTAGTGCCTGCCTCAAAGCAGGATTTCTTTGAATCTGAATTACTGGGTTTAGACTGGATATTTGCTGGGAGAAGATTTGAGCCCAAGGGAACAGAATGTGTCCAAAAACAATGCTGTTTTCCACATGATTTAGCAGCACTAAAAGAGGAAGAAGGGACAGTAACGTCGCCAATGTGTACAATGCCATGTCTTTAAACGCTTTTTTCTCTCTTTTAAAGAGGATCGCTTGTTGAGAGTTGTGGGTGGCATTAAAGATCTTTCTGTTGTTGTTACGGATTGCCTGGAAGGTCAAAACGTGCCCTCCAGTGACTATGACCATCAATGAAATGATCGTGATATTTTCCAATGTTTGATAGATCCCCTCAGGTACTGTGGTTTCCATAAGGGTGATGTTGATGACCCAGATCACCCATGCGCTAACGACAATCTTCACCATTCCTGAAACACAGTTTTTAAATGTATAATTGTTAGACTGAAGTAAGTTTAGGCATGGGCCACCAGCTTAATTTACTGAATGGCACTAGAAAGGTGTTATTTTGATTCGTCTTCAAAGTGGGACTATTTGTAATTAAAAACGCAATAAAAAAGGGAATCATCCCTTATAAGTAACGGTATACATATACTGAAAGACCACAGCAACGAGCGTCCAACTAAATCAGTTCCCTTCATGATAACTGTTACCCTTTTTGAACAAGTCTCCATTCCAATAATTAGGCTGAAAAAATTCAGACCCGACTTTTGGAGCTTGACTCCATAGCTTTTCGACAACGACAAGCTTTGCAGTTAAGCCGAGGTAAGAACTTGCACATTTTGGTCGGATTTTTTTTTTCTTTTTTGCCCGCGTGTTTGTCGGGTTGGTTGTCGAGTAATTTTTATGTGGGTGACTCGTCCCAGGCGAAAGAACTATAAAGAGTTCGAGAAGACTGAAACAAAAAAGCTATCATTGTGCTGCTAATTTTTCTCAAAACAAGGACTAAGCAAAGTACTTTAAGTTTGAATTGAACCCGTTTGGTATTGGAAGACAATCATTGCTTATCACTGAAGAGAAGATACCACAGGGGCTTGATTTATTTCGTTCCTGAAACCCCCGAAAATTTTTTGCCATTTGTTTCTGACAAGACAATTTATTTCAGGAAACGTACTCAAAACAAAATCAAAATGTCATTTATGAAGAGCCTGGTACAATCCTTTATTCTCGTAGTGTTGCATTTGCTAAGTAGGAAAGGGGCTTTGAAACAGCATAAAACCTTTCGACGGTCATTATTGCTAAGTTCATAGCCTGCGAGCAAGCTCTCCTATTTGGGCGAGCCTCGCTCGCCACTCGCTCGCGCGTTCTCGCGAGACTCGCTTCGCTCACCAAAATAGGAGAGCTTGCTCGCAGGCTACTAAGTTCACGGACGTGCAACCGACGAGCAAGGCAGGAAGAGACCTACTGGCTTGGTAAAGATGAACCAACTTGCAAGGGTTTTTAGTACGATGCAGCAGAAAGCGCCACGCTACAAACACAGGTTGGATAGCAAGGCCTGTAAGACAATCAGCGGCAGGTCTGAATAGGGTTAAACAATTTTAAGCAAGTCCTATACCACTCTAAGAACGCTAAAATGGAATTTTCTGTGTACTTTGTTAAGAATAGAATAGACTAGAATAGACCAAACAATTCCATTTCTGCAGGGGTCTGCTACAATCCTTCATACCTCTCAGTGTTACTTTGGCTGAATAAGAAAGTGGCTTCGAAACAGCATACAACCTTTCGACGCTCATTATTGCCAAGTTCACGAAGGTGCAACCGCCAAGCAGGGCAGGAAGAGATTTACTGGCTTGGTAGAGATGAACCAGTTCGCAAGGGTCTTTAATGTGATGCAGCAGAAAGCGCCATGCTATGTATACAGGTTGAACAACTAGGCCGGTTAGACAATCAGAGGCAGCCAGGCTACACAGCAACACGTTCACTGGACGGTGAAGTGAAGGAGCACGGATTATGGTGACTATAACAGCCAGGTTAGCAACCACGGCAAATATGGCGAATGGGATGCTGAGGGTCGTTATCACAGTGTCACTGATGTATACAGACTGGACGTTGACGGCGTTTAGAATCCAAGAGGGGAGGCAAAGTTCAGAACTGTCTTTGTTTAAAACTGTGTTATTAGTTGTATGGCTTAGACCCGCAGTTTCATTGAACAGCATGTTTCTTTTGACTTCGGCTTGGAGTCAGATCAAGGTTTTCTTCGTAGGTCTTCAAAGCTAAAACTCCAGAGACTTGCTACCTATATATCAAAGAAGAGGAATTTTGGATAGTATGATATAAATTTGGCCATGCGCACAATGTTGCAGGTATTCACCTTTTTGCAAAAAATGAGTCTAATGCTACATTTACTATATACTGTTACAGTTCCTCTAAACTTGTGTATAAAAACATGATTGTATGCACTGTTGCTGTGTAATCAATGTACATTACAGAGGGTACATATTTTCTGCGTAAAGCTTTGATTTAAAGAAGTTATTACGTTGTTAACGAAATATAGTTTAGTTAAAAGACGCTATTTTGTCCTACTATTTATACTAAAAGTTACGTGTAATAAAGTGGCTAAAGCCGTTAAACAGTGCTCAATACACTATTTAAGTGTAGAGCCGTGTATATATATAACTTGATAGGTTTATTCTCCATTAAATACTGTCTGATGAGTGCGTGAGCACGAAACTCGGAGTAACAGAGAATTTTGTCTCTTCGTTATATCTTCTTATACTAAAAGTTATAAAGTTTCGATCTCTGCCTTTGCCTCTACAATAACCAGAATACACAAAGGGTGGATTCATTTGCAACATACGCGTGTGGCTGTCCCATTTGCCCACTGAAATTTTTTATCGTTTTTAAGCTTAAAAACAATAAAAAATTCCAGCGGGCAAATGCGACAGAAAAAAAAAATTATATTTACGCGTATGTTGGAATGAATCCACCCAAAGCTTTTCGAGATGCACATACATCAAAGTTTCTCCTAGGCTTCAAATTTCTCGGTGCATTTTCATGGTTAAATTGCCAATGCATGATACATAACCATGCATAGAGGCTCGATGATCATTCTTTTTATTTTCGTGCATCGTGCATGCCTTTGTCCTTGAGACACCATTTGAGCATGATTATCATTTGGGTGGGTTAGAGAGAGAGGTACGGTAACACCTTCAGATCAAAACGAACTCGTTAATTCAACTCGTGAAGTCAAAAAATGCTTCGATTCGTTAACACAAAACCGGCTTTTTTGCAAGATCCCAGTTTATTTTAATTCATTCTTGCTGTTTTCAAGACCATGGTTTTTTCCTCAGATATATCGACGATTGTTTGGAATTTGAAGGTGCTGCAATAAATCACATGAACCCTCGATTCAGGCCGATAACCGTTACGTAAATGAAAGTTTGACACATCATTATACACATCATGAAATTTGTGCGATGAATTTTTTAACTGATTCTATCGAGCCGCTCGTGAGATATATGGAAAAGAGTTAAAAATCAAGATTTTGCATAAAATCGCTTTTTGGATTGGTAAAAAAAGTTAGTTTCCAAGATCGCAAAAAAAACAAAAATTCACCGAAATTTCCAAGCATGGAAATATAATAATTTACAGATTTAGCCAAGGCTAAAAGCAAAGCGTCCGTCCATTTACACAGTAGTCTGCAGTACCTCACATGAACCACCAATTTCAGTGGTTGAATAAAACAAAATTGCTTTTTGTTTTTAGGGAAGAGACATTGTTATGTCACCGTTTCTATTGTTTTCACAGCCAATTGTGTGAGCCGTTCAGTGAGGTGCTACTTGATCCCATTTCCATGCTTTTAATTACTGAAAACCAAAAAATTACAACTAATAAGCTTCAACCTATGAAATTTATACTTGACTGATTTTAAAATAACAACTACAACAAGAAAACAAAAGCAAAAAGAGAAAATTATAAATCAAATTCGATCAGAGTGATAGTCTTGGAAAAGAATTCTAACCCATAAGTGTGTATCACTGCCCCCTCACCCCAACACCTCCCACCCCCTCCGCTACACCCCTTTGAGAAGCTAATGACACTCATCCCATGAAATTAAATCTTTTATAGACTGGTTGTCATTCACGGAACGGAACTCTTTGGCTGTAGTTAGTTCATGTTTGTAGGTCCAACCTGACCCATATGATAAATTAGGCCGATTTTGGTGTTAATCATAACTATAACAAAATTGTGAAATCTGATTGGCTATCAACTGCCCTGATTTCAGCCTTAATTGGACAGTCCAATAGGACAGTACGCGTCATGCCTAAGTAATTGGACAGTACGCGCCATCATGCGCGCGCTTAAATGGCTTTTTTTTTTCACTGCTAGCAAAACAAAATTTCGAATTTCTTGTGTTTTGGTTTAAAAAATGGCCTATTGTATCGAAAATTTTGTTAAAGTTATGATTATTTGGTAACAGAACTTCGTGTCGTCCAATTCAGTCTGTAATCATACTCGTGATTAAACAAATCGGACTCCCGCTACGCGGTCGTCCGATTTTGTTAATCACTCGTATGATTACAGACCGAATTGGACTCCACTCAGTCCTGTTACCATTACTTAGAATGTGTTTCCTCTGCAAAATCGGACCGACAAACCGTTCTGTGTAAACTACCTTTTAGATTATACATCAGTATTAGTATATACACTCTCAGCGATCTTGGTGATTTAAGCAATCTTATTGGTTCGCTATCTCGGACTATTGAACAATTAACTCCATGTTTCTTCTGACGAAAAGAGTCAGGAAGGTTGATAACTTATCTAACATTTAATTTCCCCCTATGAATAACCATAATTTTGTAGTCTACACAAACTGCCCCTTGCGTGTCACTGTCAACATCAACAGTCCTATTCAGGACTACGTTCACCCGGACGATCAAAGTCAACCTACTTTTGAAAATTCTAGATGTTGCATAGGTTTTCACTCATAAATTTACCCGACAAAATTTTGACCAAGTGGAGGTGGGTGGGGGTAGGAGAGACTAGGTCGTACCGGGAGTATGACCAAAAGCGTGACCAGGCTAAAACCAAAGCTTTAGAAATTTTTTTCCGAACATTTTGCCGTAAGTCAAACACAAAGAAACTTCAATCTAGAGTTTTACTCAAGCAAATGCGTTGATTGCCGCTAAAATGGCTAATTTTGTGCCAAAACGAAACGCAACGCTCATATCTGGGACTACCTCTCCTACCCTACTGAGGTTTTTACCCCTACTCCCAGAGTCTATATGGGAGGACGCGGTAAGCGCACGCTGACGTCATAACCAAATTTTCTGGGATGGATATAGATTACCAAATTATCTTAGCAATGGGACTCCGCTCGTGTCCAGATTCCTCGTGTTAGTAGACCTCAGATTGAAGTGCTCATTGTCAAGTGGAATCATGTGGCTCTTTTAGTCAACGTTGTTGCAGACTTTCGGCGAATAGAGTAGTCAGTAGGCCTCGGACACCGTCGTGTTTTTGAGCTACGAAATCGCAAGACGAAGCATGATTGACTGAGAAGGCAGATCCACAAGTACAGCTACTTGGGAGGTCCTCTAAAGGGAGATTGTGGCGCATTCGCAGCGAGTCTCTGAATTCCTGTTTGTTTAGGGATAGATCTTGCTCTCGAAGAGGCAATGAGGTTAGGCATGAACTAGCTCCCTTGTCCTCTGCTTGATTCACGTAAGGCAGTGGGTCAGATGGTAGTTTGTCATCTATGTGATCGATTTTAGACCTCAACCTAGCAACTTGCAGCGACTGTTGTTGTCTCTTCACATCTTCTGGTGCCTCAGGTCAGGACGAACTCTGTTCAAAAATAGAACGTACATGGGGGACTGTTATTGCCTTGGAAGCTGCAAACTGTTATCGTGCTTCTTCTCTCAGCAGAGGAATACCTAAATCACCCTTAGCTGGAGGCGGGGTGATAACCTCTTGCAATTTATCAGGTAATAGTTCTACTTGGCTGAACAAGGTGAGCAGGAGCATTTCATGAATTACATGGTCGATTGGATCTGTGTAGTCTTCAGTCTTCAAATGAATCGATTTTTTACATGCAGAATTTAAATTTGGACTTGTAACCCTTTGTATAAGCAATGTAAGCTGGCTGTGTGTTGCTTTTGTCGATTTCTGAGAGTTGCAGAAGCTCTTCTTTCCGTTTAGAATATTTTTCGCTGCAATACTGATCTTTGTAGTTCTCTTACCCAATGAGATCACCAAAGATGGCGTTTACCTCCCGTTGATATATTCACTTCATCTCTAAAAACTTGTTCAGCTTCAGACGCCAGCTCTTGGTACTTTAATTACTATTAACCAGATTTTTGCTCCGTTGATATGACAGCCATACTTTTCCCTTCTTTGCAGAGATGATTGTACCAATCATACAGCGCTTTAATTGTTCCAGCTTCAGCAGAGGCGTTTGCAAACCAAACTTGTTTCAGAGTTGGTAACCACGTTCAAGCTGTTGATCAGCAAGGATTTGGTAACTGAGTACCGCGGCATCGCCAAAGGATCGCCTTTCATAGCACCTTCTTGAGACAAATCTCTTCGCCTCCCTGTATGAAGAGTCTCGAAGGGCCACTATAGGTATTAATCAAATATAGCAAAATTTCGTTCACCAGTGTGATCTGGATGTTGTGCAGGGCTACAGAGCGGTTCATTAGGTTGAAGACGTTGCTGGCATCGATCAGCAAAATTCTATCTATCTGTTTCTTTTTCTATAAAGACGTCGCTCATAGCGAAGTAATATCAACAACAACAACAACAATAAGAATAATAATAACAACAACAAATAATAATGACAACTATGCTGCGTTCTCTATAGCTACCTCGATTTGAGATCTTACAGAATATTTAAACAGGCGGACAGGGATCAGCTTGGCGCTTCTAAAAAAAGAAAAAAGAAAAAACAGTCATCTATAAGACCTCACGTTACGATTTCCAATCAGTTCAATCTCACCAAAAACCTTCGGAAATCTATCGAAATTTTACTTAACTGAAGTTTTTGATTTATGATATGCTAGAGGAGATGAAATTCGAAGTGATTACAGCATAAATATGAATACCATGTTTGTGGAATCTTTTAGTTCATTGCATTTACTACATTCTTTTGATTGTAATTGATTTAAGATTATCTTTAGTAGTGAAAAAAGAAAACAAATAAACAAACTCAAAGTATCCCTTGCTATTCGTGAAATCGTTAATGTTCTCCTTCTCTCTTTCCCAAAGATGTTTTTGCTGACTCCAGCCAGACGAACTAACGAGACATTTTACAAATTAAAACATCATACATAGAAGATTTACCTTGAGATTTCTTGGGTAGAAAATGGCTACTTCGAGACTCCAGATTCAAATAAATTAGAGGTCTTTCAGCCCAGGACTGGGCTAGGATTTAAGGCTAATTCGAATACAATTTCTTTATTATAAAGCACACTCTTTCCAGCGACTCAAGATTTTCCAACTGTCATTTCCCAGCACACTTAGCACTTTTAACAAAAACTAAGTAAATCTAAATGTAAAAGCTGTCACATTACGTACGTATCAATCATCTGTAGAAATAAAGGATCGAAGGACAAAAAGAGATTATTGACGAGCTATTTCTATTGACGGTAATTGAAATTGGTTGCACCTTGACTAAAAATTGTCGTCAGAGGAACACGTTTCATTTCATTACGACTTTTAACTTCAGTTGATTCGCTTACAGCGAGTCTCTGCTCAGTGATTAAAAAAGAAAAGAATTATGGTTTTCACAAAATAAATGTATACATTAGTTTAACCAGAAGCCTTGACAAAAGTCTCTGTTCAGTGAATTTCAATTCATTTTGTAGTTTGTAGTTCTTCGTCGAAAACCTTTTCGTATGATGTGGTAAACTGATAGACTTGCAACCAGTCGACTGCGTAAGCGTCGAAGGGGAAAATAATCTGTTATATAGCATTAAGGCAAAAAAGAGTCTAATTTTGAAAACTAGTTTTGATAACATTTGAATCTGGAGAACGTCAACATTCCGGTGCTCTTAACCAGGTGTCATTGATTAGAATTATCATTATCAAAACAGAAAAATACCTTCTTAAACTTAATCACTTAACGTTCTTCAAAGGGTCAAAAGGTAAATTGACAACAACAGAATGGCAAATTTGGTGTAAATTTGAATTTTCGCCGCATATCATAACCAGGAAGAAAAACGTGTTTCGTACGGCGTGGCTGCCTAAAAATGATAACGCCTACTATATAGTTTACGTTTACACATTAAGAAATATTTTATTATTTATAAGCTAGTGAATTAATTTATTATTATGAGTGACCTCGGGTGGGGGTTTGATTGTCTTTGTTGGCCCTGGGGAAGGGCATTTGACTGATCTTGTTCTCCCAGGGGAGAAGATATTTGAATCTTTCTTCGCCTGACGTGGAGACATTTGACTGCCGACTCGGCACGAAAAAGGCTGACCCCGAACATATGCTTCCCTCTTCCACGCTTCACGCATGCGCCGTACGGTCTGGAAAGATCTGGAAATCATTCTTTGTACCCTTAATATACTAAGAATGGTATATTTAAACTTACAAAATGTGGACTTTCTCCTGAAAGGTTTCTGTATTCTACGCAGTGTAACACGGATTATGGTTAAAACAAGAGACTATAAAGGGGACAGAGAGGGCATCCCCCATATACACCCTATTCCATAGGTAATTCGTCTCGAGTTATTTTTAACACCACAGATCTCAAGGGGGATTAGACAACAGCCAATCACATAGCGCGAATGTGTTCCGCGTGGATGACCCACGCTGAGAGCCACGCGTCCTTCACGAAATGACGCAGAACAAAAT